CTCATGTACCTTCAATGGCTCCTCGAATGCTATATGTGACCCTTCTCCTCCCTTGGTTCTGAACCTCTCCCATTTTGTTCCTTTTGTATTTGATTACTTCAGTAAAAACTGAAATAAAAATACACAATGAGTTGAAAGTCTGTCTTTAATAATTTTCTAAAAAGACTGTAGACAGCTTCCCACCAATGTTGTTTCTCAGTGATGTGAGCACACTCCCTCTTCTCTTAGTATAAGACAACTAGTAATGTGAACCTGTTACAATCTGACAGAGAAATAACCGTACTAAAGTGCAGGCACCTTTGGTTGTCTGAGAGAACCTGTATAAGATTTCAAACCACCTGTTGTGACCCTGTGAAGCCCCTGGTTTCCAGGTCACTGCAGAACAAAAGGCTTTGGATTCTACAATACACCCTGCCCATCCCCTGGCATTTAACTGTCAAATTCTAGAGCCTCACGGCTTGTAGAGCGTATAGTGTTTGACAGATGAATGGCAGTGCGGAGACAGAAGTTGTGGCGCTGTGTATAGCCTGGGACTGGAATCCAAAGGGTTCTGCAATCCACAGGCACAGAAAAGCTGATTAACAGATTTGCAGGTATTCACAAGCACAACATCAGCAGTATTGTTACCTTAGGCTCTTTTTAGGTCATATAGGTTTACTTTAAAGCGTATCTAAACCCCCAAAATGTATATATATATAAAAGATTACCAATCCTTTAATGTAGTGGCTGCATTAGTTTTGTTCTAGGGGTTTTTTCATTGAAATCAGCATTGCCACCCTGTGGGGAGGGTAGCATTAGATACAGTGGCAGGATTAGATGGACTTAACTAACAAATGAAATCTGAACTACAGCTAACACATTTTAAGCAGTTACAGAAACAGTCTTTTACTTTTTGGGACGAAGGTTTTACAAAAATGAATAAAAGCTGACCATTATAAGCACCCCTGTCAGTGTTAAAGGTTTTGCCACAACCCTCTATCTGCCACTTTTCGTGGACAGCTTGGTCTGGTAAAATAAGTTGAACAAATACAGACTTAATAGAGAACTATTGGGTAAGTGTTTTTCCCCATGGTTCTCTTTAGGGTCACGGGAGGACACATACTAACCTCCTCTTGTGAACCAAAGCTCAGTATATAGCGAGCTATTGTTCCGAGCTATATAGCGCTGCAGCCGGGACAGATCCCGACATTACTGTCTGGATCCACCCAGCTGGCAGAGTGACAGCGGGCTCTGCCTATCTAGAGGCAGAGCCAGCTGGGCCCGCCACCTCCCCCGTCCATGCCTCCAGTCAGTGCTTGAGGATCGGAGAGGGGGGTATCCCTGCGGGGAGTGGTGACTGACAGTCACCGCTCTCTGCAGGTAGATGATCGGGAAGTGAGCAAGCGATGGTATGTGTTCGCTCATTTCTCGATCAATAGAGCAGACCGGTCACAGTTTCTGTGTCACAGGTCGGCTCTAATTATGAGGATGAATTAAAATAACCCACTTCATAGTTCTTCTTTAATGGCCAAATCCTCAGCTGAAAATAAATGAAAAAGCCTTAAAAAAAAAAAAAAAACGCATGAAGCCACCACATTTAAGGATCGGTATGCTGAAATATATTACACTTTCGGCTTTGGATATGATTTATCTCAGTGACAGTGCATGTGGTTGACAGATAAGGATGCAATCAGTTGTGGGAATATAGATTTGCAGGGCTCGAAAAATCCACTCGTCCACTCGTCTGTGACGAGCAGACAGTGGAGCCCGACGAGCAGCTTCCCGTCCGGCCGTTGTAATTACACGGCCGACCGGGAGCTTAACACAGTCAAGCGATCGTGCGTCTCTATAGACGCTCGATCACTTGTATCAGCATCTGTCACTGCCGTGTTCGGTCCCGAGATCCGCTGTGCCCGATGCGGCCGGGACCGGCACGGCTCTGTGACAGGAGATCAAAGGGAGTTCAGTATACGAACTCCCTTTGATCTCGGTAGCAGCATTTGCCCTGTGATGTCACAGGAAACATGTGACCAGGAAGCAGGAAATAGTGGGCGGCAAACTCTAATGAATTTAGAAAAAAATTTTAACATATATTGCAAGCCTATAGTCCGGTCATGCTGACTGGTGAAATTTTTGACTGACTGGTGAGACACCACCAAATTTTTCAAGCCCTGTAGATTTGTATATTTTCACAAGGCAAGAGGCAGCATAGCCTTTGACAGACCACAACAGGGGAATAATTGCAATTCACCAGAATTTTACAACATGTATAATAATAGCATAAACAATTCAACTTTAGTCACTAGTGATTTATCTCTCAAGAACAGAGGCTAATAGTGACCCAGGAGAAGGTGGGTTGTAGTAGAGAAGACTGCTCTGTACCCACTATGATTACCAACTGCAGTTGCTCACTATAAATAGGCGTTACATAGTCTCCCTACAGGTCGTGTAAGTAGGAATGAGAAGGGAGATTTTAAAAACCCAGCAGAGAGATGTTTGGAATTTATAAAAACACACGTGTCATACTAAGCAGCTATAGCTGAAAGAGATGAGAAAAAAGGTCAACACATTTTACCACTGTCAGGGTTCAAATGCCTCAAAAAACCTTCTAAACCTCGCTCTCTGATGCACAATATAGCACAGATCCATCAGCACATGTGGCCACTACTTTCCGTTTTCCTCTATGACAATGAAGTCAGAATTCTTGGCCTCCTCATGAGCTCATCCACAAGTAACAAGCCTAAGAGAAGCGTCAGACCAATGGTCAAAAATTCGAAAACATTGCATATAAAGGTGAAGTTAACCAGCAAATATCTGTAAAAAATAGGTCAAGGCAACTGGACTTGCTGTATTTTTCTTGAAGAAGTTTTACTGGTCATCCAACCAGCTTTCTCAATTCAGAATGACTTGTACAAAAATTATCTGGGAATAAATATGGTGAATGTTGCTCCAATCCACATAATTTGTTAGTCACAACAGATTATTGGAGGTGTTATTAACCTGCCCAGAGAGAGGTGTTAAAACAACATTGTATGTGGCAGACAATAGATGTCTCACAATGTCTAGGATGCTTACTTGACTGTTCAAATTAGTGTTTTTATTCCTTTAGATGTAGGTATACTGCCGAATCCTGACCAGAGAGTTTGGCTTTTCTATGCTGTGCCATACACTGATGTAGCTGCTGTTTGGTTTCACCGACATACAAATCTAGAGCACTCCTCACTGCACTGGACTGCATACACAAGTTGTTCATCTTGTGTTTTGGCGTTGGGTCTTTTGGGTAAACCAGTTGTTGCCTCATTGTACTGCTAGGTTTAAAGCAGACAGGGATGTGGTGTTTTTTTAAAAACCCTTCTGAGTTTCTCAGACACCCCAACTACATATGGGATGACCAAATCCTTCCGTTTGTCATTCTTTTCACCCTCACTTGTACTCTTGGCATTCTTTGGATGACCAGTGAAACACCTTCAAGAAAAATACAGCAAATCCAGTTGCCTTGACTTATTTTTTACAGATATACCATGGCCTGGATGAATGAGAACCTTTACAGACATATTTAAACAGCCAATGCGTTTCAGGGGCTCTGGCACTCCCCCTACATCAGGGTCTGGAATCTGCGTGAACTTAAAATGAAAGGACGCAACTAAATTCTGGAAAGAGGTGGACAAGATGACAGTTGTCAAAAACAGTAACTCCATGGCTAGCTTAAAGAACTCTGGGTAAAAAAAAATATTAACCCTTGCAGTTGAAGTACCCCTACACTACAAGGGGTTAAGTGCTTATATTTGCCTAAGTTCAAAAATAACAAAGTTATACTCATCCAAATCTCAGATCTGGTAGGCTGCGACAGCGCTCCCTCCAAACTATCAGCTCCTCCGCTGCAGCGATGGTATGTCGCTTGGCTTCCTCACGTCCAATACACTGTGTAGAAAGTGATGACTCAAGGACCTTAGGCCACTGCACTGGAGGAGGAGAGAGGTTCCAGGAACCAGCCGAAGAGCAAGATGGCTTGGAGGATCGAGTAAGTATAACTTTTTGATTTTTGGATCTAGACAAAAATGAGCACTTAACCATTGCAGTGCAAAATTTTCACCCAGAGTTCTGCTTCAAGCAACTAAGTTCCTTTAACTTCAAGTTCACCCAAATTCCAGACTCTGATGGAGAAGAAAGTACCAGAGCCCCTGAAACATGTTGGCTGTTTTACGTCCCCCATATATGAACTAATAATTCATGTGGATTCTTTGTGCATTGGCCTGGCGCTTTTTGACTTGTGGATTTCAAACCCTGGGTTCCCCAGCCAGGGGCACACTGTTATCTTAAGCACAGCCTTACCAGAGCCACTGGGCTCCATATATTGGACTACACTTCTACAATCATGAGACATTAAAAGCAAAAATCCAGCACCACTTACATGTCCCATCTTCATGATTTTATGACAACCTGCAACAGAATTATCTCACATTGGTTCCCTATCAGTACACATACTGAAACTTCACTTCCACAATAGTGACAAATATGTGACTTCCTCTGTCCCCCAACGGCTATCTGCCTCTCTATGCAAAGTAGACTTCGATCGCAACGATCCTTAGGATAGATTGATATAGTCTGCAAACCCCACAAGATTGATGACAATTGTTTCCCTTTCTTCATTTAATGACTAAGCACCCTACTGTAGTACCAGTTAGCAGAATAAAATCCAGGTATTTAGCTCTCTGGATGACAAGCTTTTATGAATCTAGTTTTAATCCTACATTACTAAATCATGCCTGGATGCTTTTCAGGTTCAAAAACAGCACACAGTAGCATTTTGTTCTGCAATTATATCACAAATATCTTTGTTTTGATTTGTATTTTGTATTCGTATAGAAAGATTATTGAGTAACCGTTCTTTTTCAATGGTAGAAAGGAATGCACTGTATCTGCACAAATATTTTGTTTCCCATTAACATATCATCATCATCATGTTCAGAATATAGCTATTTACTGCTTCAAACAAGACATAGTATTAAAGGGTTACTTGCCAGTCTGATTTTTTCTGAGGGTCTAAAATTATCTGGTCCATCGTAAACAATTTTCTGCAAGCTACAGGAAGTCTTCACAGCGCTTTTGGATGAGCAGTTACTGTTGTTAGACGAAAAGTTGGCTTTATAGTCCGTTTGCTGCACCATGGGCCTAACAGTTGCAGTAGATATGCTTCTGCTCATTGAAGTCTCCTCTGGACTTCGTGCCTCTTTGAGAAATTTCTCATATTTGTCCAAGTAAGGAGGTCGCTCAGGAAGAAGGTAGTAATGTGTATTGCTAACCTTCTTACCGTCTTTCACAATGGGCAAGATGCAAGGACCTTTGGAAGAATCTTTACCCTGGGCTTGAATAACCTTGGGAGTAGCATATTTAGGGTCTGAAGCAAAACTCTGAGTGGTAGGCATTGGTTTTCCTGGAGATGTAGAAAGGCCTATACACAAGGGAGAACAGAGATTAGACCTCTGCTGTGGAGAGCCCACCTGAAAAGCCATAGGGCTAGGAGTCCGAGATGTGGGTTGAGAAAATGGGTCCCTTGGGGGCAATAAGGGAGCTCTACCTACTTCCTCTGCTCCAAAAGCTGGAGACAACTCTCCAGACCAGCGTTCATGGTCACGTCTAATTGGCCTGGGAGGTATAGGAATTCGTGGTGGTATCTGTGGTTTGTCCTCTGATGAAGTGACATCAAAGTTTACAGTAGAAGAACTTGGGCTGGGAGTTGAAGCCAGTGAAGATGACGGGGGGACATTTAGCGTCTTCATGCATTCCTGTTGTAGTTCCTCAAATAATTCTGATGTTTGGGAAAAGTTTGCATGCTTCAAATCCTTTGGAGGAAGGAACAGATTGTCCTCCACTTTTATTAGAACAGGAGCTCTCTCTGTTTCCTGGACATAGCCATAGTTAGCTTCTCCTTTATCTCTAGCCCTCTGAAGATGGGTCATTGTTATTTTCTCTCTGTGGGCCAAAAGAACATCAGGGCTATTTATAGTGCATACTTCAAAATCATCTTCATCCTGTGCTACTTCATCATAAGCTGGAGGAGCAGGAAGGGGTTTGGTGTCCCAATCCACCACCGGAGTTGGATGAAGAGGACGAGGAAGCGAGCGCGTGGGACTCTGGGGAGGAGTTTTATCAAGCAACGAAAAGGCATCCATTGCCAGTTTAGCTAAAGAAGGAGCAGTCTGTTCCACTACAGGAGAAATAAAACCTGGGCTTAGTGGACTGATGTCCTCTCCAAAGTCTATTAGGGCCACATCTCCTGAGGAAAAACTGCTACTCTTAATACCAAGTGTGTGCCGGTCAGACACTTTGGTGCCAGCCACCCGTGCAGATGGTTTAACCAGTTTTAGACCTTTGGATGTTGTTGTTTTTTTGAGAGACAGTCTTTTAATTCCTGATGATATCGAGTCCTCCTCTCCGTTGATAGGATTATAACTGGATTCTAAAATATAATGCAAACACAGTATAAGAGTCATGCAATTGTGCTTATTAAAAATGTAATTGTAAGTATCTAATAATATTATTAAAATTAGGATTTTTATTGTCAAGTAACAGAAAGCAACCCCCGGAAACAGAAAAAACTTCTTCAGTTCAGTTAATATTCGGTAGAACATATACACTATATCATAAAACCTGGAGGGGTTCCATATGATGGAAAATGTCCACTATAACAATGTTTGACGAGAAGAATATTCTAAGAGTATGTTGCAAATACAGGTGAAACTCGAATAATTAGAATATCGTGCAAAAGTAATTGCAGTAAGTGCGGCAAAAAGGGCCCAAACCAAGTACTGAGTACATATGCATGCTTGTACTTATCAGAGGTCCGATATTGTTCTATGTACAATCCTTGTTTTATTGATTGCATGTAATATTCTACTTTTTTGAGGTTGTGGATTTGGGGTTCTTGGGGTTTTCATGAGCTGTAAGCCATAATCATCACAATTATGACAAATCACGGCTTGAATTATCTTGCTTTGCATGTAATGAGTCTCTCTCATATATTAGTTTCACCTTTTAAGTTGCATTAGTGAAATAAATGAACTTTGCACGATATTCTAATTATTCGAGTTTCACCTGTAGAAGTGACACATGTTGTGTTGGCTACAGCTTACAAATTTGCATCTAACAGACTAGAACAAAGCCATACAAAGCAAGATAAAGCATCACTTTATAATTGATGACTTATAAGTATGTGTACACATTGGCAAATGTCCTGCTCTTGCGGTATTTTCTATTAGATCTGCTAGTGCAACACATACAGTTACATTGGGCCAGAGATACATAGAAGAATAATGAAGCTTAGGTGTATGTATCCTATTTGCTGCTATGCTGTGATCCTCTATGTTTTAAAACCTGACCTCCAAAGACTGTTAGTTATCTGGCAGTCATACTGCTCCTCTGACTTAAATACTTGCCGAGCCGCAGACCTGGAAATAAATGCAATCAGTAAAGTCAAAACTCATTATTTGCATACTTGTTCCAGGTCAGTACTCAGGAAGTAATGGTAATCATGGCAGCCAGGCAACTAGCATTTTCAGGAGGAGGTGTCAGCAATGACAGCATCCATATTCTCACTGGTTTCCTTTAAAGTTTAATCTCATGCATTACTGATGGTTATTCTCTAAGAATGCAATTTGAAATCTTGTGATGTTTCTAGAATATGTGACAGCATGTGCAAGAAGCAATAAAGGTTTTAAAGACAAATGCCATACATTTACAGTCAATGCAGACTGTACTGTACATACAGCATTATGTATTTAGGTTACGCTGCTATATGTGCTATACAGCATGTGTATACAATAGAGGTGAATGTTATATGCATGCACAGATGTCATTCTCAATTGGCAGGCATTAAGATGCATCTGACCAGCTGTACACATACACCCACAGCCAAGCACATTTAGGTTATAAGGAAAACTACTCTTGTACATTTACATTTGTAAACATAACATTTATTAAAATATTCTGTATATTTATGTACATGCTAAAGTATTCAGCAATATTCAGCTTTTAAACAACTAAGCTTTGCCAGGTCTGGGATCACCAGAGACTGTAACTTACCTGTATCAAGTGTCTGTTTCTAGCTCATTACTTACTTAAAAGGAAAAACACTGCAAATCTGAAAGCACCAAGCATGCAATATGAATGACTATTCTATTGCTATTCACTACAGAAATAGGATTCTCTCTCTGGGACAGAGATGTATTGTATGATTTCTGTGTGATTTACACACATACGTGACATATGCAATGTTTTCATCTGTGAGTGCACCTATGCCCAAAGTATGGACTTCAAACAATTTACATATTCCCAACAATTAGCAAAAGACCTTTAAAACCAGCAATCTCTTACCTCTAGCTACTTTTAATGTGAAGTTATTCATTCTCAAAGATCCTCACATATTACAATACAGTGAAGTCACAGAGGAAAGCTAAGATTTTATTGCCTCTGTTGTGAACTTTGAAAATGATTTCTCCACAATGCCTATAGATCCAAACATGACTAAAGGTATGTTTTAAAGTGCTTTTAGTGCTTGTTCACAATATGTAAATACTTTAGTATGTATGATCTAAGCACAGGTTCATTTTAAATAATGGATGCTATTACAAATAATTTCATGCTTTTCAACTCACTGGGGTTTACAAATTAACTTCTTCACATGCCAATCAGTATAGCCGTAGGTGATCTGTGTATTTTCAACTTAAGATCACCAACATTGTTGTGTAAAACATTGTTGGGAAATAAAAACTGAAAGAAATAGGCAAGATGCGTACAAACATTAGTATATTGCAAGCTTTATGTGTTTGTCTATTAATACCAATGGTGAGAGAGACAATCACTCATTCCACTGCACACTGTTAGGCCAAATGTCAGTACAGAGTTATTCCATTGATCAAACACTCTGTACCTTGAGAGAGAGGGACTAGAAAAGTACAGAGCGGACAGGAGCAGGGTGCACGAAGGAGGGAGCCATTAAACTTACTCTTAACCAGAGCAGCCGGTTGAGGAGGGCGAGGTGGACGCTCCCCTGGGAGAAGAAAGGCCACGGAGCATTGAGAAAAAAGCAAGTATTTGATTTCAGAAAGGGCAAGAATATGCAAATGTCAAAATGATATTCAGTAAAGCAGGGAGATATTAGAGAAGCAGAAGGAGGAAACTAAGAGGGCACAATGAAGAAAAAATGTAATCATTAGACAGATGGAGGTGAGCAGTACAGATTAGTATTGCACAAGAAGCAGGAAATTAAACGTAACTATTCTAAATGTAATAGATGAAAGCACATTGGCCCCTTATCAATATGATTACAGAAACATATACAGTATATACCTTAAAGTAATGACACACACAGACAAAGGAAATCTATAAATGTTATGAAAAACCTCTGGCATGGTATTCAAAACTAGTTGTTTCGCCTGGTCCCAAAATGAATACAAATCTGAGGGCTGGTTCACACCAATTGCGGTGCGTTCCAGAGCGGTAGCTGCTGGAACGCACCGCAATCGCTCACAAAACTTCCCCCTGCGTTCTGGGGCGGGAGGGGGTATGGCAGTGCATTGAAGTCAATGGCATTGCAGCCACGTTCCCCCAACTGCAGTGTGATCGGACGTATGGCAAAACATTGCCTACGTTCCACTGCAAACGCAAAAAAAATTCTGCATGCTCTATTTTTTGCGTTTGCAGTGGAACAGAATGCAGACAATGTTTTGCCACGGGTCCAATCGCACTGCAGGTGGGGGGGGCATGGCTGCGTGGCTACTTGTTTCCATGCAGAGCCCTCTTGGATCCTAGATACAGGCTGTACATGGGAAATGAACCACTCCCCAAGTGGAAAGTAAACGTCATCCTCTCCTGGTAGTCCCACTCTTGTCATTCAACTGTCAAAGGCCAAAAACTCTACTGCCCACTGAAGGTCTGGCATTTGACAGCTGAGTAGGAGAGGGCAAGGCTTAATCTATACTTGGTTAGATGCCGAGGATAGGCTTGGCCTCGGATCCAAGGGGCAAGAAAGGAACAGAAGAACTGTTTTGAAGGCTAACACCGGGACAACAAGGTACGTGTACTTCAGCACTATTGTTACCCTGTTTTAGGCCAGTATAGGTTCACATTAAGAAACCATTTTCTATTTGACAATCATATCTGTCTTAACTAAATGCTGACAGTTACCTCCAAGTCAAAGACATAACAAAATATACAAAATGAAAGCAACCTTTTGTGTACTGGGGTTCATCTTCTTTTAGTTTGTCATGTTTTTGCCACCCTAGTCCTATATTTCAGATCAACAGTTGTTCAAAGTCTGGGGAGCTGCCCAGGCAGCATTGATGATAAATTAACAGCTTATGTGAGCATTTTTGCAGCTCATATACCAATAATGTTCATCAAATAAAGTATATGAACTTCCACATTACAGCTCCCATAGTAATAGGCGAATAGCACAGGAACAGAATGTGCTCTGCAAGCCATCAATGTAAAGCCTTTATGTTTACTTGTTACTATGGGAGTCATGACATGCAGAGACTCATTTGTAAGCCATCGATTTACTGAGCATAATACAGACCATACAGACTCTTACAGTGCTTTCAGCAAGGTCTGAATAGCTTCCATATAACTGGCAGATGGCAGTTCCGGCTATCAACTTTAGAATCCAATGTTCTCTGTGTGGGATATTTACAGCAACAGTCTTAAACGATAACAATTTTCTTTCTCTAACATTTTGTATATCAACTAGCTACATGCCATTTAAATGGAAGGTGTTCTTTCAACAGAGATGCAGGAACAAATGATGACTGTAAGAATAATAAACTGTAATGTTGGTCATAGAACTATAGTACCGAGCATAGTGTTCTATTGCTACAGTACAATGTCTGATGAAAACAGACAAGTGTGAATGGGCCCTCAGTGATAAAATGTATTATATATTATGCATCAATGTACAGTATAAAAATGAATATTTGACATTCACATATGACTCTACAAGTGATAACTCTTTATTATTGAAGATAATAACTTTGCTGCACAGCATTTTTATCTCAACAAGCAAAGATTAGCTAGAATATCTCAGAGAGGAGATGGTCTTCACTTGGACTATTGCCCAATAGGTCACAAGTTAATGTTGTGCTTTTTCCAGTACTGCTCCAGCATGTTTTACCATTTTTAGTTTAATGTCAATCATCTGTGCATCTTATATTATCAAACATATAGGTTACAAACTGATTTTCTGTACAATGACAAGAAAATACACATTTTTATATATATAGATATATATATATATATATACACACACACACACACATACTGTATGTACCATTACTTTCTAGCATTCTAGTAAAGCCCACAAATACATAAATACATTTAATTCTGCAACTACCACTGATGAGCACAGATACATTGAGCCCTCTGGTATAGAAATTACATGTTCACAAAGATTTAATCTACTCACTTTTTGCCCTCCCTGGAAGCTGAGTTGGCCTAGGATTTCCTTGATCGAGACCTAATACATCAGGAGGATCCATGGGATTTCCCAAGTACAGCCTGTAGGGGGAAGTAGAGAACATATAAATGAAATTGCTCACAGGAACTTCAATGCATCTTGAAAATATGTTCTAACCCTATATCGCCACTGAACATAATCCAGTGGCTGCCATTAAAAACTAGACACAACTACTGACAGTGACTGAGTTAAAGTGACAGTAAACCCTCAGATTTTTTAACATAAAACAATACTGTAATGTGTGCCTTACTGTAATCCATGGTAGTTTCCCTTCTCTTAGCTGCTCTTCCTTTTAAATCCGTATCTCTTCTCATGCTGGGCAGAACTTCTGTTTTGCAGCAGACTGCCTTGTCTCTGCAATGGATACATGGTGTCTGTGTGTAGGTTCACAACCAGCACTACAGGAAGAGGCACTCAGCTGCAAAGGGAAGTTCTCCCCCAGCATGAGAAGAGATACAGATTTAAAAGGAAGAGCAGCAAAGAGAAGGGAAACTACCATGGATTACAGTAAGGCACACATTACAGTATTGGTTTATGTTAAAAAATCTGAGGGTTTAATGTCACTTTAATACAATGTCATCTACGTAACGCAGGTTGTTTTACTGTTACCACTGCTACTCTTATTTCTACTACTATTACTATGACTAATGCTATTAGTACTTCTAATATCAGTCTAATACTTCTAATAATGGTAATACTAGTCTTGATGCTACTACTGTTTGTACTCATGCTGCTACCAGTACTCATTCTACTAATGCTATTAGTGCTCCTGCTACTAGTCCTGCTGCTGGTATTGTAAGTAACAGAAGTTACAATTTCTCTACGAGGCATTCACACTTCTGCTTTGCAAAACTGCATGCACTTTTAACATGTGTTTTAAGCACATTTTTGCGCACTCCTCAAGCAAATGCATGTGTGTAATGCCCCTGCAAAATGCCTAAAATACAACAGAAGAAGTGGAAATTACTCAAAAAGGGTTCTAATCATTCCATACATTATCCAGAACTAAGAACAAAATATGGCTTTAGAATTACTTGAATTAAGAGGATAACTTAGATTTACAGCAATAACTAATGTTTCCAGTATGTGTTGTTTTCAAAAGCTGACTAAAAGCAGTCGTGTCAGCAAAAATGAACTTCATTTTCAAGCAGATCCTACAAATTACTGTGCCACGTTTGTGACTGTGAATGCGACATGGATTTCAGCCAAAACAAACTGGAGGATGTAAAGAAGTGGAAACATGTTGATTCTCCTCTCTCAGAGGCACAAGACACAACTCTCCTTATTCCTGGGATAAATGCACATATGTAGGTGGGAAGAGAGTGTTGAATCCAAGGAGGACTATGGCCACTAGGTTCCCGTAAAAACCCCTTCATAAACAGGGTTTACATCCACAGGCTGTACCTTTTATTTAAGTGAATGACACTCCAGTGCACCAACAGAAGCCCTCATACCTATAATATAGGTTATTTATGTATACAAATGACAACTTAATTGACTTGGTTCTTCAACATGTCTTCCAGTTACCTATGACTCAAAGCACTGCAGAATGCTCCAAGAGTACCTTTTCGTTTCCACTGTTCACTGCCCACATTTCAGGGCTTGTTCACACCATGTCCAGACCAGAACGGTTTGTTATCGGACCAAAAAAGCATCTCAATATATCCCTATGGTATTTCTGGGCTGTGTTCACACCAGCACAGTCCATTCCGGTCTGGACAAAAAAAACTGCTTGTCTCAATTTCTCTGGTCTGGAATGCACTGGAACACATGAAAAGGCAACCCAAATGCACTGGACTGCACCCGAAAGCCCATTTACCAAAGAAAAAGGCGCAAAATCACAGTTTTTGCCGTGTTTTTCGTGCGATTTTGCCACGTTCTGGAGCTGTTTTTATTTTGCTATGTAGCTTAAAATGGGCTTTCAGGTGTGGTCCAGTGTGTTCCATGCGTTTTTGATGCGTTTCGATGCGTTCCAGTGCATTCCAGACCGGACAAAATGAGACATGCAGTATTTTCCTGGTCTGGTCTGGTCTGGAACGGACTGCGCTGGTGCGAACAGAGGCCAGAAATAGCATAGGGATACATTGGGATGCATTTTGGGTCCGGAAACAATGTGATCTGGAGATTAACTTGATGTGGTGTGCCCTTGGAAGCCCTCACAGGCAGGGCCCTCCTTACCATCTTGTCTTGAATTGTATTGTGATTGTAATGTCTTCCTTATATTGTAAAGCGCTGCGCAAACTGGCGCTATATACATCCTGTATAATAATAATGGCCCTAAAAACGCAACAAAAATGCACTGCATTTGCAGATCTGCTCCAGACATTGTGTGAACATAGCCTCAGTCTGAACCCACCCATAATTCTAATATCATTCAACCTACTAACTTTCCCCAAGAGTAAGCACAGTGAGATACTGTCTAATTGCCTTGCATTCCTAAAGGTTGCCAAAAATGCAGCTTTTCTTATTACAACACAGATACTGATCAGGTGGTAATAATAAAGGTAGATCCGACTTAGCAGTCAGTTTGGTAAAAGTTTTGGCAAGAAAGTTTTAAAATCTGCAACAAAGCTTACTTAAACTCAAGCTATGTATTAATTTCACTTGGAAGGGATGATTCTGTCTCAACCAAAATCGTTTCAAGACTGCAGAATATTAAAAGGGTACATTTTTATGCTTTAGAAATATTCTCTTTTGTATAATTGGGGGCATCCCTATTGGCTCATTACATATGCATGTTCATCTGTCTCCTGCTTAGTAATACTGCACAATGACTGTGCTTCCAGTGCTCCCCTCTCAGAACAAGTCTGTAGATCCAGTCTAACCTGTTTAAAAAACAACAAGCTGCCTACAGGGTAAAACAAGCTCATCTCCAGTCTTTACTAATCACCTTCCCTGATACACTGATAGTGGAGCATTTATAAACACGTACATGAGATACAATAGTTAAGATATGAAACAATAAGCAACAATACTTCAATGCTTCAAGTCAAAAACTACTTATAAATAAAAGTCAAAATTAAAGTGACATTAAAAGGCAGACACCCCCCCCCCCCCCCCTCTTCCCCATGCTGCTGAAAGGACTTACCTTATGTGATGCCTCTTGATCCGATCATCTTCTTCCTTCCGCTTGTTTTCCACTGTCCCTCCAGCGCTGGTGCCGGTCTTTGATCCAGTGCAGACTCCTCGTGTTCCAAGGAGTCTGTACGGCGTTGCTCTCCTCCTTAACCTTCCGGTGATCTGGACTGCGCATGCGCCCACACACACGTCCGTCCTCCTTCACACCGTTCGGGAGGCGGGACTTCTACAGCCGGGAGCGAGCGGTGATGACACAGGTAAGTTAGTTGGTATTTGCCACTTTTTTTTTTAATGTTGGGGCATATATCTACTGCTTACTAGCACTAGATAAATGCCAAAAAAATAGACTTTAATACTACTTTAAGATTCAAAAGAGTACTCACTGAGAATACACTTTAAAACACACTAACAAAGCATGCCATTCCTTGAAATGTTAAATGCTGGTTTTTATTTAGTTGTAAGTATCATTAGTTATGTAGCACATTTACAGGGTTATCCACAAAAGGGTGAAGAGTCTGGAGAAGGTAGGAGAAGTGAACAATCTAGGACAGCATAGCTGAACTGGAAAGCGAGTTGAATTGGAGAATATTAATAAATCAGCTAATTTCTAGTCCTAAAATGTTTACTTATTCCTGCCTTCTCCAAACTCTTCACCCTTTTGTGAATAACCCTGTTAGTGTTTATCATTGTAAGGCATTGGAAATATGGGGGAAGGGGGGCAGTATAATATTAGACTCAGCCTAAGTCATCAAAGATGGCTGTATGAGTGTGGCAGTCACAGTGTTACATTGTCACTCGCCAAAACCCTACAAGCTCTGCTCCATATCTCTGTGTACAGCACAATTTTACTCTCTGCATGTTGTGTGACCTGCCTAATTTGTGGAATTTAATATAATTGCCTTTTGAGTAGAGATGTCCTGATGCCGATACTAGTATCAGTACCAGGCATTTTCACGAGTACTTGTACTCGTGAAAATGCCCCGATTCTTAAGGCCGATACTGGCCCTTTAAATTTTCAAACAGCAGCAGCTGCCTGAGTTTCCGCGATTGTGGGGACCTCGGCAGCCTGTTGGAGACCTGCAGATAGCTGTCCATGGTAGTGCTTGTCCGGTTCTTTATCTCCTCCTCCTCCTTCCCGGCGCAGGCAAAGCCATGAACCATCGCCCCAGGGCTAGAAGCTGGGCTTCGCACCGCACACTGAAGGGAGGACTGTGCCGGGAGATGGATGAAAGTCGCGGGGCCCAGCAGCACAAATAGTCGGCCGGACTGGACGTGGCAGCATCACCGGTCTGGACGTGGGGGAGGCCGGGTCCCGACAACGTCAGTGAGGTGGAGTGCCCGCAGAGCCACTGCAGATGTCCACGTCACCTGGTTGAGATTGACACGCAGCCTGGTGAAAGGAATTCTGTTTTGGGGACATGTATTCGCAGAACACATGTTCCCAAAGCCCAATATATGTCCCCAAAGCAGAATACTATTCTGCTTTAGGGAAATGTGTTCTGCTTTGGGACCATGTATCCTGCTTTGTGGACATGTATTCTCAGAATTCTATTCTGTCTTAGTGACATGTATCCTGCTTTGGGGACAAGTATTCTCAGAATACATGCCCCCAAAGCAGAATACTATTCTGCCTTAGAGACATGTGTTCTGCTGTGGGGACATGTGTTCGGCTTTGGGGACATGTATTCAGTTCTGGTGACATCCGTATGTAGCCCTGGTGAGAAACTGCCCGAAAATCATCAGTCTGTGTTTTAGAAAAAAAATGTCACATGCCCCTTAAAAAAAAATTATCGGTGATTGGTATCGGCAAGTACACAAGGGACAGTACTTGTACTTAGTCTTAAAAAAGTGGTATCGGAACATCCCTACTTTTGAGGCTTCACGGAAAACACAAACGTTTGCTGTAGAAGCCAGCAAATATGTCACATATACATTAGAGCCAGACATAAACACAGATGTTCGTCAAATTCGCAACCGCAACAGTCGCAAGTAACTGGTAATGGTGAAGGTGATAGAATGCGGAAAGCATTAGGCTGCAACAACACTTAACTTTTTTTTTTTTTTATCGGTCACCTGACCGCGCTGACTAATGAGTGCTTGCAATTTCCAAGTGAAATTCAAAATTCATAGCGTAGGGCTGTGCTGAACGGCAGTATGGGGGTACAGATAGTACATCTGTATCAGCGAAAAAGGTACGTATACAGGGAGGAAGTGTTGGCCAGATTTGAGCGGGTAATTCCATGTTCTCAAATTACTTGGGAAAGTGAACTTACCCTTTAATGCCCATTGTGTGTGTTAGAGCGCGCTGCTGTTTGGCTACCACAATAGGGCACACAGTGGAATAGGGGCACCACTCAGCGCACACACACACACACAATGCCCTACATGTTCATTTATTTGAATGCAGATTGTAGGGGCGGTGGTGTTGGTTTTAATTGTTTTATTTTTTTTTACTTTTATATTTTTTGACAGGTTCTCTTCCATAATTAGACTAGATATCAGTCAGTGATATTTATTTTTAAAATACAATAACAGCCGCAGCAGCACACTGAAATGCAAAGGTAATTTTAACTCTAAAATGGAAAGTTTTAGACTTTACATTTAAATGGTACTGTAGCTTGACGATTGCAAGTCTACAATATCACTGTCATTGTCTACAGTTTCCGAAAAACATAACTTTTGTTCTTCCATTACATCCAAAGCTCAAACTTGCTGATTTAAAGAATATATATTTTGTTTTAATGTACATGTAGGGTTAGGAGAAGTGATGGATTATTTATTTATTTATATATTTTATTTATTCCAATGGACAGCAGAAAAGGACTGCATAGCCTTTCGCTGCCATAAGCTTACTGCGGAACACAACTGCTTCCAGCTGGCCATGTCAATAAGCCTTACGTCGGTGGCTTTTACTCTTCTGCTCGCTTTAGCAACCATGAACTTATACCAGAAAAGCTCCCCTGACTCCCCCCTGTAAAAAAAATAGCTGGCATCAGCGACTAAAAAGCCGCTGATGAGAGCTATTAACAAAAAATCCGGGTGAACCCCCACCACAGCCTCTTCTCCCCGCCTGGAGCGGCTCCATGCTGGGATCTATTTCTCCTCGGATCCCCGCTGCTCTCCCCCGCAGAGCTGCCGGCTGTTAGATTCAGGATCGCCAGCGGCCCTCTCTGTGGACGCTGAGTGGGTCAGGATGGAGAGCGGGAGGATCGGTAAATATCTGCGATATTTACCGATCCTCTGTGCAGAACAAACACTGGAGTGATCAGCTGATCACTCCAGTGTTTATAAACAACTGGTGACACATATTACTATGTGTCCCCAATTATGAATGAACAGGAAGTGTTTTACATCACTTCCTGTTCATGTATGAGTTTATCAATTGGTGGAAGCACTCTGTATAGTGGCTTCTACCCATTCATATATTTACTATCACCAGATTCTGAATGAATGGGAAGCCTCTGTACTGAGTACTTTTCGTTCATTGAGTGCTGAGGCTGCAGAAAGAAATTGAGGACACTGTGTCCCCAATTTCTTTTTCTATTTCAAAAAGGAAATGACCCCCAAAAAAAACCTCCCCTCCCCCCACACTAAAATTTAAAAAAAATGCAATAATACAAAAATAAAACACAACCCCCACGCACAGAAAACATACACGGTGCACCCTATTGTGGTGTATGCCATGCACATGCGCTGCAGTGCATTGTTAGAACTCATCGCAGTGCTTGATTTTTTTTTCTATTTAAGATAACATTAATTTAACTGTGTGGCAGCGCATGGCAAAGCGTTATGATGCACTGCCGTGCATTGTGATATGCTATGTTGCTGAATGTTGTTACGCCTGTATCATTTTATCACAACATGCACACCAACACAGTGCGCAAACGATTTTTAACATAAGTCGCTTATTTACAGTTTTAAAGTTACTAAATTGTTTTTACTGTTTCACAAAAAGGCGCAATTTAAAATGTACACATATTTGTTATTTATTAACTCAATACAGTTTTATCTATTAGATTTCATCTGAAAAGTTTTCTTTTTTTAGCACTGATACTGATTTTAGTGTGCTTTTATTCATTTGTGTATTTGTATCAGTTTAATATTGATTTGATAAACATTTGTGCAATTATCGCAGGACCTACAAAATTAGCAGCACCATCTTTTTATTCTTCCGGGCCTGCGCTTCCAGAAAAGATATGGTTTAGGGAGTCTTTTACAAACGCTAGCAACGCAGCAGTAGAAAATCAAAACAATGGGAAAAAGTGCAAAAATGTTATTTCCAGCTGAGGTTAAAAGCGTTCCAGAGGGCTTGGCAGCGAAAGAGTTAAAAGTCCATGGTTGAGCATGGGAGTGGAATGGACCTTGTTTAATCCCTAACACACTGTTTTACATATTAACTTGGCTCATGCATTAAAAGTAATATAAGTGAAAGTTTACTCATAACCACCAACTTTTGAATTTCTAGGGCAGGCTAAACACAAAAGAAAAAAAAATGTGTCTTCTGGTTTTGGCCAACAAAGCCCCTTCCTCTCCCAAAGACTTATACACGAAGCCCAATGTTCACACCGGCTGAATAGAAGTACAGAGCACAGCATGTCTTTTTTAACTATTACACATTTCCGTCAATGTGCTGACAATACAATGCATTTTACTCATTCCACAACCCTTTCTGCCTCTAAAAGTATTTGCCATGCATTAGCCGAGTGCTAAAGCACAAACTTATGCAACATAAGCCCCATAAACAGCATAACTGGCTTATCCAGCTTGTATTATGAATGCCATTATGTTAGAATGTCAGATGATTCATTGTCTTCAGCCGGACGCGAAATTGCAAAGAGCACTACAATTTACATGAGGTAGAAATACAATACTGAGAGAAAGTGCAGACCACCATACAGACAAACCAACAAAAGCATTTCCGACCATTCGATTTTTGGAACTTACTCATCAATCCGGTCAGGGAAGCCCCAGCAGTGAGCCGGCACAGTATCTCCATGACCAGTATGGATGAAGCTGTTCTTTAGAGGCCGGCTAATATCATGAGCAGAAAGTCCAGCTACAGATGTCACAGTGTTCCGTGGAAATTGACCAACCTTCAACGTTCTCTTGTTCTGGCCTCTCCACCAATAATTCTCTGCCCTGTTGAATAGACACATGTCACAATACAAGAAAAGACAAGTATGAACAGGTAGGGGGGAGCACATTACAAGGGATACTAAGACTTATATGAAAATAACCACAAAGGGAATGCTGTCTCCTCACTTCTTTCTTGGCTCACCATAAGAACACGGTAACCAGAGCTTCCAGCAGATGTCTGCATCCTCAGTAGTACAGGTTTATAAGACTGGAGTGGTTACGTGTTCAGTTTGTAAGATTAACCATTTGGCCAATTAACACGTGGGTGCATGCATAGTAAAGACTGAGTCAGCCCGTCTTCCTGTCATTCCCCAGAGAGGCACGCACAGACACAGCACAATCCCTGAAACGTTCAGATGTCACAAGCACTCCTTCCTGCCTCCTCTGGAATTTCTTCGCTCTTTCACTAATTACCTGGCTCAGAACGTCAGCAAATGAGGGGGCAATGGGCAAGATATGACAGGTATCCTTCCTATTACTAGGGCTAATCAAATAAACGCAAACGGAAGTGCAGCCCCAATTTATGTGGCAGGACGCTACAACAGTCTGTCTCCCACACAACCTGCCGAGCAGAACAAGCCATGAAACCCTTTATCACGATACACCCGGCAATCCCTGTCCTAAGGGGGGGGGTGGGGGGGGGGTAACCACCGCTATTTCGGTGACATGAACATTTCATATAGGTCAGGATATACAGATAACTACTATTACTACTGCCATAAAAAATGTCACCCAACAAGGGTGTGGGACAGAATTTCAGGATAGACGTGACAAATAAGAAAGCACAGACCTTACTCACATTCAGGTCAAACCAATCAGGTCTACAAGTTCTCATTAACACAAACCTTTACTACTAGATCTTATGACGTTTAAGATATGCCCAGCTAATAGCATCTCACTAAAAGGTTTCCTAAACTCACAGATATTCCTGTAAAAGTCTTCCTATCGCTTGTTCTATTGCTCCCTTGTGTGCAACTGTTACCAGAAATACTGAAAATATTTATAAACATTAATGACTTATTTGGCATTATTTAGATTATGCTGACTCTTAAAAGAAAAGAAATGACAATATAAGAAGACTCCACACTAATAGTCTACTACTACTACTTCAATGCTACATGTGTGTGTGCTCGTAAAAGGATTTTAACCCTGTAACACAACCAGACAGCTATTGACAGTGAGTCCCAGTATGTGAGTATAAGCTAGTTCGAAGCTAATAATTTTCAGCTTTACCAGATGTTATTAGAAGATTACTTACACAGCCCCAGAGAATGAAATGCAACCTGTGTCCCCTGTTCTGACAGGACTTGTGTCCCTGCTGCTCTTACACCTCTCTCCCCTCCCCCCTTCACTTGTAACCCATCCCTTCTCTGAAGATCAGCTCACCTGCCCCCGCTGTATGGCTGCCAGCAGGAATGGGAGCTGTGTGTGGGTGTGTAAGAGTGTATCTAAGCTGCAGCACGCCATTGGTACACAGGCCGGGTCAAAGGAAATGAGTGCATTTAAGTTCATTGTTCTGCGTTTAACCCATTCTTTGGCAGCCACTGATTTCATCAGAACCTCACAGCATTGGGAAATACCTGTTGTAATACAAGCTGACATATCCCAGAAATGAGAATATTAAATAGATAAAATGCTACAAAAATGACTTCATATAGCGTCATTAGCAGGTATATTTGAACAATTCATTTTAATATATTCATATTACAATTAAAAAAACTTCAGCGTGGACACCGCACACTGCGCTGTGTCTTTAAAGTGACTATATGCAGGTAAAAATGGTCGTCAGCCCCCCGCGGAAGTACGTGTGAGTTTCTTCTTTATTGACGAGGGAACATTATGTCACAACATAGCGGCGTTTCAGGGCCACTTCGGGTCCCTTCGTCAGGCTCAATATGTAAAATAGAATAACCCTTATAAACACCAATAACCAGTCAAAAAACGAAAAAAAAAATAATCAAAAAATTTGACGTCATAATGACGTCACATTCCCGTCATTGCATGCAAAACAGAATGTCAATTAAAATAAGAACAATTCAATAATGCCATCAAAGACCTGACAAATGTCATTCCACTGATTTCACCATTGGATTATGGATGGAGTTTCCTGAATGAAAGCCGCGGTCACTGTTTTCATTGTTTTGCAATCGTTTGAGAAAAAAGGTCCACTCTGCTGCTTCGATTTGACTTCATTAACTATTAAAAAATCAAGCAAACGTTCAAAAAATGCATTTTTTAAAACCAAATTCTACTGGAGTATTGCCAGTTTAAGTAAAGCGAGAGGCTTTACTGGTGTTTCACAGGGTTAGCCAAACTCCGGCCCTCCAGCTGTGGTGAAACTACAAATCACATGATGCATCTCTCTCCGGGAGTCCTGTCTGTGGCTGTGAGAATCTTGCAATGACTCATGGGATTTGTAGTTCCACCACAGCTGGAGGGCCGGAGTTTGGCTATCCCTGGGCTACCTTAACCACTTGCCGTCCGCCCGTTGTAAAAAAACGGACGGACGGCACTGCAGCATTTAAAAAATAAATAAAAGTAACATATAAAAAAATAAAATAAAAGTCACATGTAAAAAAAGTAAAAAAACCACCCTCAAAATGTTTAACTCCCCCACCCCCACGTTTACGCAGATATAAACGTAAATCCACGTCCTGTGCACCAGCGCGCAAAAACGACAATTGCGCTACACACGTTACATATCGCAGCGAACGTCGCAGTGAGAGCAATCATTTTAGGGCCATCAATCACTGATAACACTAAACTGATGAGCAGTAAAAGCTTTAAAAGCGTCGCCTTTGGCCAATTTTGGGTATTATCGTTTTTTGAGGTTTCGCGCGCACACGCAATTTTAAGGCTTGACATGTTTGGTGTCTTTTTACCCGACGTGACCTTGTCTTTTATATTTTACCAAAAAATTGGGTAATAATAAATGTTTTATCATTTAATATAGGGGAAACAGGTATTTTTTTTAAATTTCGGTAATTTTTCTTTAATATAGTAAAAAATAAAAGAAAGCCCTATCTGTCCCTAAAAAATGGTATAAAATGCATTTCAGTACAGCGTTGCATGACGGAATAAATGTCAGTCAAAGTACCGCATCGCTGAATACGGAAAAATGGCCTGGATGGGAAGGGGGTTTAACACCGTGGATGTCAGCTGGTTAACAATCCATTTCATTTGTATCTAAGCAGTTGCTCATGGCAACCATTCAGCTTCTCTCTTCAGTCTGTTCAGTTAAGGTTTGAAAATGAAAGAGAGAAGCTGATTGCTTTCTGTGCACAGCTTCTCCAGATTTTGTCTGCTCCAGTTTTGATAAATTCCCTACACAATATTTAAAAGATTGTAGAATGTGTGTGGTCAGCTTTAGTGGGAGGTCGGCAGACAACCCTAGTAATCCACTCAGTACAGGTTTCTTTTATGGTAATTTAGCTGAAAGTACCCCAATTTGTCCATGTCATAAGAAGTACTACTTGAGTTACACAGCAACATTTACTCAGTGCTCTCACCTGCTCTATATGAATGTTTAAGAATTTCATTCCACCATAAATATACATACAAAAGGGTCATAAACCCTGTACAGCTGTCAGTTATGTTACGTGTGTGTGTGTGTGTGTGTGTGTGTGTGTGTGTGGTTGTGTGTGTGTGTGTGTGTTTGTGTGTTTGTGTGTGTGTGTGTGTCAGTTAGCACACATACTCCTCTCAAGCTGGGCTGCAGTTATCAGTCTACTCAGCCTGTCCCTGACGCCCGGGCACAATTACGAGGTGTGGTTGTGATGGGCGCTCCTCCATGACTCACATGTAGCTCTCCACCCAGACCTGATAACCTAAGCATAGGGTGAGTCAATGGCACACTCAATGAGTAACCACTGATTTTCCAGTACATTACAACAGTGCTACATTAACACCTTTACAGCAAACTGACGTATATAACGAGTCACTAGGAAGACTAAAGATTCTCAGAATATCGACCAATCACAAACTGCTTTCACAAAACACCAAATAAGGGGATGAAGGAATTTGGCTTGTTCTGAGAACAGGAGGACACAAGTCTATGATTCAAAACAGACAAAACCACCAGTTACTATAGCAGAAATGTTTCCAGTTATAGTTACACCTTCTAGGATGACTTTACATACCATGAAGCATTTTCTGTAAAGTGTACCTGTGGTGTCTGCCTGAAATACAAGCAAAGCTAGTGTTGAATAGAATAATATGCCATCTCACCCCCTGCAGTGCACTGCCTTAATGGTCCTATACAAATGCAGACTTTCTGTAAAGTATTTGCAGAGGAATAGGTTCACCCCCCACATGACCGGCCTCGTAACTGGTTGCCTACTGGGATATTTTCTCCTCAACTCAACTAGATAATAACAGTCTTTTATTTGTAAACTACGCCCATGGAACTTTTAGAAAAAACACCACTTCCCGTAAAGAAGCGTCCTTTATCTTTTTCTCGGGGACCATTCAATATGTTACACAGCACTGGGCTTGTAAAAGTCAGGCTGGTTGTCAGAATCCCTGTGACTTAAAACCCCACTAATACAAAATGCCCCTCTTGCTGATTGTGCAGACCAGTCAAACAACACATGAGCCTACAGTACAAAGTCATACATTTGTAACCAAATACAGCTGCTCCCAGCACTATTGCTGCTACAATGTGTCATGATACAAATCAACCAACTGAACTGCACAGCTAGTGCATGCACGGTGCAATTGGCCAGTGATTTTGTGAAGGAATGTGGACATCAGGCATCAAAGCCTCTAAAGAACAAGCTAGCTTGTACAGATACAGTGTACTTGAATCAGACAAGGGGTGCTCCATTTCAGATTGTATTAATATCTATGGGTTCATTTAAAGTGAATCTATCACCTTGCCCATTCAGGCAAAGTGACAGGTTCTCTAAACACTCTACCCACAGAAACCTTCACGGTGCTCCCCCCCCACACTCTGTTCATCTGTTGGCACCCTGAGTCTTATCCTGTTGTAAGCGTCATGTTGGTCAACAACGGTGCTTACGGAGGGTTAATGACCTTTACCAATGAATGAGTGCTCTGAATATAAATAGATGCTTAGGCCTAAGCACTGCATCCTGGGAAGAGAAGGTCACCCATACCCAGAAGCACTGGATATCGCCATAGGTTCTGACAAATGAATGGAGTGGCAAAGGAGTGTAAGGAAGGTTGAGTATTAGAGGGATGGGCGGGGGTAGTTTTCAAGAGAACCTTCTCTTTAAATAATATCTATCTCTGTTCAAATACATTCCTTAGTGAACATCTTAATTGTGTCAGTGTTTGACAAGGGATATTTCTTTAACGTTAATTCAAAGTTTTGGGAGTGCTTGTTAGTGTTTAACAATCCTCTTTAAAGGAGAACTATGAGGTTAAGGCTTTTCCCCATAGTTCTCCTTAGGGTAACAGGAGGACACAAACTAGCGTCCTCCCGTCACCCTAGGCTCAGTATACCGTGAGCTGTAGCGAAAGCTTGCAAGTTGCATGTCAAACAGTTGTTATCAGATTTTATACTGTTTTCAGTGTTTTGTGACTGTTCAATTACAAGTATGATTAACCCAAGAGTGATCACATTTGCCCTTCACTTTCCAATGTGTGATAGTGACTTTCACAGGTCGGCTAGAACTATGAGGTGAGTGAAAAGCACTCACCTCATAGTTCTCCTTTAATGTATATTGCTACCAGAGCAGAGGTTCAGCATTGCAGAATGAGTGCTTGTGTATAAAGTAATGAAGACGTTAAGTTCCCAGGTGGGAGGGAACTGGTACCTGCCCTCGATGACAGTTATTACATCATTCATCTGGATGAGCAGCTTGTCCGGCTCCTGGAAATCTTGCAGTGCTCTCATATCTGTTGGCTGGGCCTAGAGTACAAAGGACAAAAATAAGGTAATGTCAGCAAACAGGAGTATTGCTTTACAAAATATTCACCATTAAACTCTTTCGAAGCGTAAACAAAAATAAAGAAATGCTTCCTAATAAGCAGTTTCTTAAATAATGGGGTGAAGCTGTGTTCACTTCAAAAGTTCACAAATCCTGCTTTTCTCTTACCCGTGATTGGGAAATCAAGGTTGACTTGATTTCCCCTTATTAACTAACAGTCACTGTGCTATTTGAACAGCTTTAAAGTGACATTTAAGTCACAATCCCCCCCCCCCCTCCCCCCATGCTGCTTTAAGGACTTAATTTAAATGATGCCTCTTGATCCGATCATCTTCTGCCTTCCACTTGTTTACAGGAGTCCCTCCAGCCCTGGTGCCGGTCCCTAATCCAGCTCTGACTGCTGTCTCTTCTTGTCCCACGGTGTCTGTCCACGTGCACGCTCACAGCTGCATGCATTGACTTACACTGTGTCTCTCCACTTCTTCCGGCCAAGGATCTCTACTGCGCATACGCCTACCCCAGGGGTGGCAAACACAAGGCCCGCGGGCCGAATCCGGCCCGCCGGACCTTGTAATGTGGCCCGCAAGGCCTACCCCATCATCCTTCACGGCCGCTTGAGAATGTTCAGATGGGAGCGAGAGGAGGTGACATAGGTAAGTAATTACCTATTTGGTAACATTTTTTTTTTTTTATGTTTTTGCATATATCCACTGCTTGCTAGCATTAAATATATGTAAATACAAAAGTGAATTTAATTCTATTTTAATGCCTTTAGCACCACACAGAAATAAGCTCTCCCCTGCCCCTGTCCTAATCCACCAACCCAAATAATAATCAAATAGAACTTTAATTTCTTGGAGCTTCACTATGTTCTCATGTCAGCATAAGGAACCAGTGGAGGCCCAATGAGATTTACACTTCCAAAAGTGTCAGTTTCCCAGTGGACTGCAGGGAAAATGTTCTCATGAAGAGGGAAGTTTAATGGCGTGAACATTGGGAATAGCAAGTAACTATCTTTGTTCTTTACAGCTTCTTAGATCAGGTGGCAATATTTTTATGGCCAAATAAATTTTATGCTCGTACAGAAATATGCCTGTTAATCCTTTTAGCAATCCAGCATCCTTATAACTTCCTGTGCACTGAACTATCTCAAACAAATATTATCTTAAACAATGTTATCAGCTATCCCAGTAATCTTCTGTGATCTACAAAACTCTCTTCTTATGTAATGGAAATGAGGAGACAGTCCAAATTAGAAGAGCAGACTAGGGTGAAAATGCAGCTTCTCCATAGATACAGTGCAGTTAGTCAGCATTGTCACCCTAGGAGTGGGAATGTGGCAGATTCACCAAGTAAAAAATTAAGGTTAAAGGAGAACTATGAGATGAGTGATTTCCACTCACCTCATAGTTCTAGCTGACCTGTGACAATGAGACTGTCCGGAACAGCTGGCTCTGCCTCTAGATAGAACTCACACAGCTGGGCGGATCCCGACGTCCAGGTCGGGATCCGCTGCGGCGTCTCAGTATACCGCGAGCTGTAGCTCGCGGTATACTGAGCTTAGGGTAACGGGAGGATGCTAGTTTGTGTCCTCCCGTTACCCTAAGGAGAACTATGGGGAAAAGCACTGATCCCATAGTTCTCCTTTAAAAAAGAAAAGGAATGCAGCCACCAAGGTAAGCTGCAAAATGTTCGATTTTTGTATTTGGTTTAGAAAACGCTTTAATTCCACCTTTAGTGCTACAGTCTGCTGTGAGGTCAAGTGAGACTACCCATTTATAAGTATCGGAAGCACAATGTAGCTAGATGTGCCAATTAGATGTTCCATTTCTTTGTGTCCTGGTCCTACCTCCACTAGAAAGTCTCTCAATGCAACAAATGTTGGTCTGTCTTCAGGTTTGTAAGCCCAACACTGAAGCATAACATTATAAATGTCTTGTGGGCTATCTTCTGGCCGTGGCAGACGTTCACCCTCCTTATCTATCTTGTGAAGAATCTGCAAAAAGAATAGAAAGAAAACATATTTTTATTAGAGAATGGGGAGCAATATCTACAAATCCTGCAAGCAAAGGCCAATCAGAACATGGGTGGACATTGATCAATTCAGTGGCACAGCAAGGTGAAGAGAGACCAATTATGTGCATGATGTATTACAAGGTTACAGCTTGATTCAGAAATTCCTCCCTCTGCTGCTCTAAAGTAGCCCTGTGACAGAATAAAGCTGACCCTGTAAATCTGTGGCAGAGACTATGTTGAATGAGGCAGTCTGATTTGTGACTAATTGCGTTGCTAAATTGCTTGATAAATGACAAGTTTAATAAAGCCCCCATGAAGATTTGCAGGACTATGTCCTAGGTAGTATATTTGGAGGTGACTGGAGGTGACTGCTGATAACACAACAACAATAATTTATTATAAATCCAGAGTACACTAAAAGAGAACCCATACTATGGGGAATCAGTATGTTGCCACTGCTCAACTCCTCTTCTCAAAATCCTTCTTGCTTAGCTTTTTATGCTGATCCAGCGGCTTAAAGACCATCTCAGGGCAAACAAAAAAAGTACCCTTGCAGTGGGGCTATCCTTACAGTACAAGGATTAAGTGCTTGTTTTTGTCTAGGTACTAAGAGCAGCTTTACTTACCTGATCCCCACTTCCCTGATGGTCAGCGCTCTTCTCTTCTCCCCCTCCACTCTAGCTGATGCAATGTTCCTCGATGTAGTCACATCTAATGCAGCTCTATGGAACCTTCATTAGACATGATGGTGTCAGTAGTCCTTAGACTGCCAGAAGCCAGTGGTGAGGAGGCTGGAGGGACCAGTCTAGCAGCCCTGAGGGACCCGACGGGAGTGGGGGTCAGGTAAGTAACTCTGATTTACTCTGATTTACCCACATTATGTTTGTTATGAATAGGATCCCATAACAAACATAATGTGGGGTTTTCTCAACTTTGAGTGCACACACATTACCTACACTTATCGCACAGAAGTGGACCAACATTTCCCATTCACAGAAGAGGCTGTTAGTGAGAATATATTTCTGTAAACAGCTTACATTTTCTTTATAATGAACAAGGTTAATGTAATAAAGAAGAACGCCAGTGAAAAATGTTATTGACCCTTGCAGTGGGGCTACCCTCGCACTGCAAGGGTCAACTGCTCGTTTGTGTTAAAGTGCTAAAAAAAGAGTTATACTCGCCCGAACTGCCATACCGACTCCCTACTGCCCTGGTCACTAAAGCGTGCCTCCTCCTACACTGCATGGATGGAATGCTCCTCAGTGTTCTATACACTTGTATATAGTGATGACACAAGGATTCTTAGACCGCTGCATGGGAGGGGGACAGAGGTTTTAGGGACCAGTCTAAGAGCTAGCCGGCTCGAATGACCTGGCGAGCGTAAGTTGTTTTTTTTTTTAGTGCCTAGACACAAACGAGCAGTTAACCCTTGCAATGCAGGGGTAGCCCCACTACAACGGTTAATAAAAATTTTACCCACATTTCTTCTTTAAATATTGCCTTTCCCAGTCTGAATTGCAAGTAATAAGTCATGAAGGTTTTATATTGTAATGTAAAGATGAGACACCTGGCAGGCAGAAAAAATGAGAGCTGAATGAAAACGATTCCTGCTTGATCAGAACAATTGACGGCATAGTTGTGATTTGGTGGTTCAGCTCCTGCACTTGCAAAGGGATGTTTTTGCAGGCGTTGTACCATATTTTCCTGGCACGCAGTAACAAAAGCTACAATAAATGTAACAAAAATGTACAATGCTGCTGACACATGTAAAAATATGTTTACAATGTATCCATGTTCTCATGACCACTTGTAGACAGAAGAACAAAAACAGCATTATTTTTGAAGGACAAACTATCTCCACTTTGGATAGGAAGCTGCAGTCATCATACACCATTAAACATAATTCCTCAGAGATCCTTGAGTGTTGACATGCCGATCCCTAAAATAAAAGATTTTACACTCTGCTGTCTGCCACCTCACACTGTTAGTTCCTTTACTATTCAGATAAGCTCCAACTGTTTAAGAATGCAAACTACAGGAGTCATATTTCTGTGTTTGCATGCTATACTCCCTATTACTTCATAAATGTCATCTTTAGGACAATTCAATAGTTTATTTTTTTTACCTGGCTTCCATTAAGCCCTATCCATGGTTCTTGTCCATATGTGAACATTTCCCACAGTGTCACACCAAACATCCAAGTATCACTGGCATGTGAGAATGTACGAGTCTTCAGGCTCTCTGGTGCACACCTATCAAAAGGAGATATTGTAGAGACAGCATGAACAAACTATGTAAAATAATCAATGTAGTAATCTATCATATAGTACTGTAGATTTGAGGAAGATGCCAGATTTTAGCAGTATTAGCAGGATTTACCTAAGCCACACACATGCAATTCCTGTGCTGTCCTATAACCCACATAGTAAACTATAGCATTATTTGGGGGGTCTGCTCTAGGGATGCCACCCCCATTCACTATGGCCCACAAAATATGAATGATGTATGATGTACAAGCAACCCAGAAGCTGGCATCATTAGCTGCACATCTTGACATGAAAAGGGTGTACTAACATATGCTGGTACACTGTTAAGTGTTGTGTTTTATGGTACTGCAGCTATTCACTGCTTTAAAGTGGGTTAACTTGCAATTAATACTTTATCTCTCTATTTTTACTATGTGAACTGCATGGAGATGTCCTAAAAGTGGCTATTTCCTGCTTCCAGGATATGACCATGCTAGATATTTGGAAGCAGAAAGAGAGCGCTGGACCTGTGTGATTATTCTGTTTTTTTTCATCCAATAGTGGTTAAGTGTTGTGAATATGTGTAGTCTGGCTAATGGATAGGCAGCTATCACTGGCCTAAGGGTCTCCACAGTATCCTTGGCTTAACAGTGAACACAGCAGGTGTAGGAATTGAAGCACCACAGCATTTAAAATAGCCCAGAAACAATTTTATTCCACTAGAGTTAGGGGACAATTGAGTAAAATGGCTGCCAAACCAGCTCCTGACAAGCCAGAAGCTTTCCCATCACAGCTCAATCCCAGAATAAGGGGGTGTTTTTGGACCCTCAAAAAGGCATTGGCTAGTCTACTCAATTGTTTCCTGACCCTAGTGGAATAAAGCTGTATCTGTACTATTTTCATTGGTGTGGTGCTTCAATTTCTACATCTACTATGACCATGCTAGAGGTACGTGCATCATGGTATCATAAAAGGAGTGTGGCAGTCAGGAATGGGGAAAACAAATGAACAGAGAGAAGGTTATATTTCTGCTGTACATGCCAGCCCTCCCTTTCCAGCTTATTAACGTAGTAACAAGGCACTTGTCATGGCACTTGGTAGGAAGGACTTCATCCAACAATTCAGCTATGATTCATCTCATATGTAAGGCAGGAGGAAAATGCATAGTGTTTCCTGACATCTATAAGACTCTCTTCTTCAAGTGACCTACAGGCTCACTCTCAAATAACTCTTAGGGGCCAACACATGAAAACTGTTCCTCATAGCAACCCATCAAATTTCACCTTAATGGAAAAGTTAAACAAGAATTCTGATCAGTCGCTACATCCAACAACTCCAACTCTGCCGATTAATTTTTTTACTTCCTCCAGTTGTAATGATTCAGCTATTTTCTTGTTTGAATTGTCAATATTAGATGTGTGCAAAGTCCTCCAGTGCAATGCAACCTAGAGCAAGATTGTTTTGCCACTCATTACTGTTTAGTTGCACATTAACTAAATTTTCATAAAAAGAGTTTTGTGCTAACAAAGATGTATGCTTTCTAGCTAAATGCTCACCAAGCAAAGGGCACCTTCCGATGTTCCTGCATGACATAGTGATCATCATTTTTTGGTAACGCTCTCATAAGTCCAAAGTCCCCAATCTTAACCAAGTCATTAGAGGAGAGTAAAATGTTCCTGGCTGCAAGGTCCCGGTGGATGAAACGCTTTGATTCTAGGTAGGCCATGCCATTAGCAATCTGGATAGCGTAATGGCATAAGGTGGAGATGAGGAAATGACTCAGGTTCTTACGCAAGCGGTCCAGAAGAGATCCGAGTGGAGCAAGCTCTGTCACCTGTATGAGATAAGTAATAATTTTGTAAACACTACCGTGAAGTGTAGGTTGTCAGTGTTTGGACCCAAATCACTTTTTTCTCTTTCCTTGACTACTATCCTTTGTTTAGATTTCAGCTTTCATGTACAGGTCTGTATAAATCAATGCAGTATGTCATACTTCCTCATCAGCCCTTACAGCATTTAAAAAGAATAATAGAACCAAAGAGGTCTAAAAATGTTGAATTATGAAGCTTACCCAGTACCAGTTGAATCACAACTTTTGGCAAAAGGTTTTTTTTATAGAATAGGGAAGGGTTGGATTTTTGGTAGGACTTTATTGCCCTCTGTTTCTCTATTACAGAGATTTCCTCTTAACTCCTCAGAGACATGACTTAAAGTGAGTACAAATCTCATAAAAGTAAAGGGAAATCCACCTTTCACAATTGTCACTGGAACAGGTATTCCCACTGGAAGATTCCCCCTCAATTCCTCCTCTGATAACAATTGTAAACTTTTGGCTTTTAAAAATGTAGACATTTTGGACAGTGTTCACCAACAAATAATGAAAACGGATCCCCAAACAAGGACACAGACTGAGGTTCTAACCCTTGCCCATTTTATTCAAGTTTAGAAAATAAATGTTTCGGGTTCATATTTTTGGCATCCATGCCTAAATAGAAAAATTTTCTACCACGGATGCATACTGCAGCCTGCTTTTACATACAGGAGCCCCGTAGGTGCGGAGGGTCCCTTAGAGTTGTAATCAGTAATGCGCAGGTCAGGCTAGGGCTTTTAAAAGTACATTGTTTCATAAGAAAACTGATCCGTTTCCACAACAAGTTTTTTGACACTCAACCTAGGAACTAGCTACTGATGTAAACTGGATTACTACTGGTTCATATGAGGATGGGAATGGCAGGGATGCTGCAGCATACTGATATATATTTATTTCATCGTACTAAATATAATTCTTCTTTGCTAGAACCTGAAGGGTTATTCAGCAGTCTATTGAGGGTTTCCAGTATTGACTAATATAATAATTAGATATACAGTTACAAATAAAGAATTGCACAGATATTTTACGCATAGTATAATGTAATGGAAAAAAGAGAGCATAAGTCTAAATAAGCATTAAAGGTCTATATTACATTATGATAATGGCTTGCATACCATTTTCATAGGATGTGTAAGGACGACTCCATATAGTCTGATGAGATTGACGTGGTCCAGCGAGTGCATTGCGTTGACTTCTCTGATAAAATCATCTAGGGCATCTGGCTGTGTAAGAACATCCGTCTTCAAGCACTTAACTGCAACATTAAACTTGGAAGAAAGACACAGAAAATGTCATCAGTACATTGTTTCCAGGGCAGGTTTTCAAAACAATACCTAATACTACTTATACAAAAACCCCTATTCATGTAAAAAAAAACAAACAAAAAAACAACTTGTGAACATTGTCATCAAGTCTGTCCAAAGTCTACTAAAATGTAACTAACAAATCTTTACAGAACTGCCATACAGTCATTGAAGTGCTTTTTTGTAATGGATTGATATTCATAATAACAACATTAATTTTTAAGGAACCTAAAATAAGCATGTGTTGTCACTATAAAATAAATACATGTTAAGGTCAGTAACTAAGATTTTCAGCAGAGGTCAGTAATGGTAGCGTACATGTTTCTCTCAGGATCTCTTTAAATTCAATACATAGCCCTGTTATGTAGGGGGCCAGAAAAACAAAGTTCAGAGGGCAGTCTAACGCATTTTTTATCCAGCAGAATCCTATAAAGCCCAATTGAGCCATATTGGTTTATTACTGTAAAGAAGTCAGGCTGCATAAACAGTTAGGGCTCATGCACACGGAGGGCTGTACACAAACTGCCTGGCCAAAAAAAGTCCCCACCTAGATTAGTTTAGCAAATAGGTCAGAGCCTTCCATCGGATAATTAGTCTTGGTTCAGCAATGTTATGTCCCCAAAAATGAGGTCAGCTGCCTACCTGAATATACTGAATGACCAGCTATTTCGATCAATAGATTTTTTTATCCCTGATGGCATAGGCATATTCCAAGATGACAATGCCAGGATTCATCGGGTTCAAATTGTGTGAGTGGTTCAGGGAGCATGAGAAATCATTTTCAAATATGGATTGGCCACCACAGAGTACAGACCTTAACCCCATTGAGAATCTTTGGAATGTGTTAGAGAACACTTTCCACAGTGGTCCGTCTCTCCCATCATCACTACAAGATCTTGGTGAAAAATGAATGCAACTCTGAACTGAAATAAATGTTGTGACATTGAATAGGCCAGGGGTGTCAAACTCAATTTCATCGCGGGCCACATCAGCATTATGGTTACCCTCAAAGGGCCAGTTGTATCTTTAAGACTCTATAAATGAATCTACTTTTTATCATATTAAATAATTGCCTCTGCATTCGATTATTACTGGTTTTAGTAATAACTTAATAACTAGCTCTGAAAGTAGAAGTCCAGGAATAATGATGGCAATTAGTGTAATAGTGAATAGAAAATCTTTGGGATGTGCCTTATGCAGTGCTCTGACTCTCTCATCATTACTACAAGATCTTTGTGAAAAATTAACACTGGCCGGAAATAAATGTTGTGGCATTGCATAAGCTTATCAAAATTATTCCAGGGCAATTGCATGCCATAATCAAGGCTGAAGGTAGACCAACGAGATATATAATTTTTTTTTTTGGCCAGGCATTGTATAATTGGGGCATATTTCCCCACTCAGGAAAGCACAGGCACTGCATACAGCTACCTATAGATATAAATGGCTGTACACAGCATGCTCAAGTTTATGAAAGTACAAGCATCTACCTGCTGTGTTCAGCCTTGATGTCTATAGCTGGCTGTACGCAACTCCTGTGTCTTCCCGGGCAGGGAAATATGCCTGGATTTTACGTGTAAATCCCCCATGCGTCCATTTGCATAAGGTCTAATAAAAATGCTGCTCTTCAGGCTCTACAGCAGTACACCCCCATCCTGAACACTGCTCTGATTAACAGTAATGCTCGGATATCAAGAGGACTGTTCCTTGAAGGAGTGCTTGGGAGAGGGACGTCAGATCGCTGTGTTGTGCGACAAAGGCTGACTGCATAATAAATGAAGAGGATTTAATTGGGCTTAAAAAAAATGCAAACTATTTTTGATATTACAGTATACCCATGACCTCATTTGTTAAATATATTTCTGACTACAAAATGTGAAATAAAAAAATATGAAAAAGGCAACAAACTAATTTTTGAACATATTAAGCACCTGCAGTAATTTGGAGGTGTGCTGTCTTGCTATATACAGAAACACATCCAAGAAACCAACAAGAAGTTGTAAACCTACCATTTTACCACTAGGGGTGTTCCACTCTCCTCTTCTAACAACACCAAAAGACCCATCGCCAAGCTTCTCAAAGAGGGAAATGTCCTTTTCACTAATAAGACAGGTCAGGGCCTGCTGACCTTCAGATGGTGGAGGGCTGGGAGGTTTTCTAAAAGTACTTTGAGGCAGAGGAGCAAACTCTGAGTCTGGTCTCTTCCCACTGAATACCTGTTGCAAGGAAAACAAAGATGCTAATCTAATCATTTCATGTCTTTACACTGTATTCCAATGTCAGAAAGCTAGATGGAAAGAGCATCATAGCAGAAAGTAATAACCAAATTGTCCTTAAAAACATGAATTTTCTAATAATTATTCAGAATCACCCAATAACATAACCCTTTGAATGTAACACTTTTAATATAGCAGAGAAGATTAGATTAGTTTCAGGCTTATTCAATAAGGAATCATAATATCACAGGACAATCCTCTGCTGCCAGTAAGGAGATCTGGCTATAGATCTTACAGTGTATGCAGACAATTCCATTGATCCTTGGTGCTTACTTTGTTTTGTTATAGCAACTCTGTATAAACAAGTCCTCAGTGGTATCTTACAATATCAGTGGGTGTCTATTCAATCAAGAACCACATTGTACATCCAGCATCACGCTAACACCCTGATGCATTTGACACCTTTATTGCTTACTCAGAAGTTCCTTAAGACCTTATGAGTAAGTAATAAAGTTGTGAAACTCAGGTGTTTGTAGATGTGCCTGATTGAACAGACACCCACTGATGTTGCAAGATACTACTAAGGCTGGGCACACACCTTACAACCATCGCAAGACTTTTGTCTTGCGATGGTTGTAAGGTACTTCAAAAAACGTACGATCTGCATATCTTGCATAGGCAGATCGTACTTGCGATGATCGCAAGCCACACCCCCTGAGGGGCGGGCTTCCGATGACCGCAATGCTTGCGCACACCGGCCCGACCTTTAGGCTTATACAGAGTTGCTGTAATAGAACAAAGCAAGGTCCAGGGATCAGTTTTCTGTATACACAGTGCAATCTGTGTTTGTACAGAGGAATGATATGTTATATGCAGTAAACTATAACAACCAAACAGTTGTTGTCAGAAAAAAAATGAATTCTGATTGGTCACTAAGGGTCCATTTACACCAGCAAGCTGAGCTAATCGCATGGCTGCTGGTTTGAGTTACAGGTACAATGTTGATGCAATTACCGCGCCACATCACATTGTTTACTTTTTTTTTTAGAACTTTATTGAACTGTCACCAGTGACACTTCATTAAGTTCTATCGGCACCGCACAGTGCAATGTGGCCCAGTGATGAAACTAGGGGGGGGCAGGTGCCCCGTGCGCGGCATCAGAAGGGGGAGGTACTGCCGCCATGTCCAGTGGCAGATCCAGGGGGGAAACAAGTTAAAATAAGCCCCTGCCACCACTGCATCCGCGATCCCTCCTGCCAGCTCTCCCCTCTCAGCCACTCTGCAGCTGAGACTGAGCTACCATTGGCTGGCTGTAGGGAAGCGGGTCCTGAAGTGAGAGGATAAGGAGGCGGCTGGGGGCTTCACCCTTGGATATGAAGGCAACATCGCTGCCCCCCCCACCACCACCACCATGAGAGGAAGAGGGCATGAGGACAGAGCACTGGAATTAGATCAACTATATGCACTGTAAGTCTGTTTTTTCTGTGTCACACAACTGACCTCTGCATTGTGCGTCACTCCGCTGATCTCTGTACTGTGCGTCACACCGCTGACCCCTGTACTGTGCGTCACACTGATGACCTCTGTACTGTGCATCACACATGTAGCCTCTGTACTGTGCGTCACACCGCTGACCTCTGCACTGTGCGTCATACAGCTGACCTTTGCACTGTGCTTCACACAGCTGACCTCTGCACTGTGCGTCACACTGCTGACCTCTGCACTGTGTCGCCACTGAGCATGCCCATTTAACACAAGAAAAATTGCCGTGTCTATACGTTGGGGTGGTCCTGAAAGAAACAGGCAGCGCAGCCGCAACTCTTCTGATGGAAATGAGCCCTTAATCCTCATTCACACCATTGCATTTTGTGAACATGCACCAAATGCGGGGAAAATGCCCACTTCTACAAGCGTTCAAATAGACGGGGAAAATGTGGAACGCAAATAGTATATTTTGCTACACGAGCTATTTTTTCCGCGTTTGTCACATGTGTGGAACCCAGTGAAATTAATGGAGATGCGCGTATTGCTAGAACACCATGGTGTGAATGGGGACTAAGGGTTTTAGAGAAAACAAATTCACAGCTTTTTTATTTTAGTCCCCAGTTACACCTGTGCGTTTCAAAGTGCTTCAGCTGTCGTAAGGAAATGCACAGCAAAAGGAATCCAATTATTTTCTATAGGGCCCCGTCACACTAATGCAATGTGCTTCCATGCAACTTGGAAAATGGTTAAGGTGCTTCTTTGGTGCGTTTCTAGTCCCATAGACTTCAATGGTGGTAAAGGAAAAACACAATGTAATATGCATCTTCAAGTCTTTTAGTGCATGACAACAAGCTCCCTTCCCCTAGCAAGCTATACTTTTTTTCCTTAATTGGCCAAAACATAAAACGCATGAAAAACTAATTGAAACACAAAGAACACACTAAAAACACAGAAAGTGCAAACATAAAACAAACAAGATCATCTTTTATTTGGTCTAATTACAGTACAGTAAAAGCCTTATGTTTGCTATATTTTAGCACTCATTTTACAGTACATGATCACTGCCTGTTTGTTTCCCAGCAATCTGGTGCACCATTGCTGTTTGAAATGTCATCAGATCCACTTTAATCCACAGATAAGAGAATTAAAAGTCAGAAGTCAGGTTGCATAGCACTGGCATCATGTAGGGGTCCCCTTGAGACATGTGTATTTCAGGCATACAGAAACTCAATGCTGATAGCATGATTTATTTCCTGGAAAAGTGCAGCAAATCTCTCAGCTGGGATTAGCAGCTTCCGCTGCCAGATAGGCCTGCAGCTGGATCAATCCATCCTCCCCCAAGTCAACGGCACCTAGAAAGGAAATCCTGGGACAACTGCTGACACTTGTACAGTGCGATGTCACCAGTCACGGTCCAGCAAAAAAAGTGGATAGACATGTGATACTGAGTGGGTGGGTTCTATTTTCAGAGTAACCCCAGACCCAAATATTCCAGTACTGCAGACAGAGGACACAGGATTGAAGCAAAGTTTCGGAGATGACAATATTAGCCTCTTTCATTCTACACTCTGTGTTATCAATGAGCACAACACGCCTCAGAGCTGTGTGACATTCTGAAAAGAATCAGTTGCTGAAGGCTAACCGCTACCCTTACAAACTTCACTGGGAAAAATGTTGCAGGATAAGATGACACTATACATTTTATATCAGGAATGTCTAAGATGAACAAAGGGTGTGGATGCTTATTGGTAAGAGTTTACATATCAGATGCTCCAGCAAGAGCACAACCATGTAAAGGTACTCAAACTGTGTACTGTACAGACAGGCCCGGCGCTACTGCAAGGCCAGTCAGGCGGCCGCGTTACGGCGCTGCAGGGTGAGGGCGGAAAAAACAGGGCATTTTGACAAGTACTTGTGCTTGTCAAAATGCCCCGATGTTTGCGCTATAACAGAGAACCTAAGGACAGGTGACTGTAGATCACTGGTGCCAAAACTGTGGCTCCAGGGCCACATTTAGCCTTTTGATAGTTGCTGGATTTTCCTTTGCAGACTCCAGGGTACGATGACAGTCTCTAGCAGTTTCTCATACCATGCCCCCGGTTTCTGATTGTATTCTGCAGTAGATTTCCAGTCTCCAACAACACCTGTAGCAGTCTCTGACCATGCACTCTAGTGTGTATACAGTCCCTAACAGTCTTATGTAGCATTACATATACTGAATATTATGTGTGGCCCCTTGGTGCTTTCAGAGGCTGCAGTTGAAGACCCCTGTGTCTCACAAATTGATAGCTACTGCTATAAATGGTATATCACCCAAATAAAATGATTGCTATGTGTACTTGTAAAGTATCAGAAAGTGCACAGATCCTAATTAGTTATAACTCTGTACCAAGACAATATGTAGGCTGCCACGACTGAGGGCACCTTCTGAAAAAGCTAATTGCCTGTCTGTTATATTAATCCAAAGGCTCAATATTTACTTGGGGGGATTTATCAAAACTTAAGCAGGCACAATCTGGAGCAGTTGCCCATGGCAACCAATCAGCTTCTCTCTGCAGTTGGTTCAGTTAAGCTTTGAAAATGAAAGAGAGAGGCTGATTGGTTGCCATGGGCAACTGTGCCACATTCTGCCTGCCCCCGTTTTGATAAATTCCCTTCACTGTATGTGCAAACACTCTGTGCTAAGGTATAACTGCTAACTTACAGATGGTGTACTATATCATACATGGATATCATGGCTACACTGTTATAGGATTACAGCACTACTCAATAAAAAAAACATAATAAAATTAAGTGATAAATGATTAAATAACCAAGTATCTCAATAAAACCGTAACAAAATAACCCTGTGTCTCTTGGGCATACTCCCTTCCCTTCTGATAGTGAAAGTTAAAGTTATTATCTGTAAAATAACCATAACTATTAGCAACCAGCATGCCATCAATGTTTCTTGTGCAATATAAAAACTCCATCATACATGAAAACAATTGCTATCAATTGAATATCAAAGTGCAATCCAAAATATATAGTACTGTCCCCTAGCAATAACCAGCAGCAACCAATAATATTCAGCACAGATCCAGCTCGTACTGAAAGACCAACCACACTGTCCACATGCTTCTTTTGTCCCCTTTTGTTAGCCCCTTATTTGAGTAAACTCACCAGATTTTATTGACCTTTATAATAATAATAATAAAAGATCAATCAGCACCTTTTTTCCAATTTAGGGATAGCGACAACCTTTTCCACCAGCTCACCCTCCTATGTTTAAATGAACATTTCAGATTGCTCCAAAAATCCCCCCACAAAAGAAGGAGGGTAACACCACTATTGTATAGGTGCAGCTATGTCCCCTGTTCTGGTATAAGGGGTTTTTCTTTGCAATTGGTGGGGGGGGGACGCTGTCCATGAGAGCTTACAATCTAAAAGGGATAGTGATGGTGCACTTATGGAAATATCAATCTTATCCATTCCAAAAAAAAAGTGTTTGATTTTATAATAACATAGAAATGGTTGCTTTATGGAATAATTACAGGTTGTTTTATTATGTGATGTTAATGTGATGCCGAAAGTGAAGAAACATGCAGGGCGAAGTCAGTGATGTCATCGGGTATGTGAGTACGCTCCTCAATCTCAGGAAAAACAAGAGAGGAGGAGGACACAGTATGCTTGGCTGGTGCTGGTTATAAGTGACACTGTCACTAATGTAAAACAAAATAAAACAGCAGCACCCTGTAACAAGATATTAAATACTTATTTTACTAAAAATATTAACATTTTACAGTTGTCTCCAGAACAGGGAGATAGAGGAAATCTGCCAATGGGGACAGTGGCAACTAGTTGATTTTATTTCATTTTGAAGAGTGAAGAGTGTAGGGAAATCTCTCCAATAGTACATCAACAGGAAAAACAACCTAACATGGGTTCTAATCAATCCTCACCCAAAGCAAAACTAGAAAAAAAAAAGGTTTTGGCTATAGATACACTTAAAATGAGTATCCCCAAGCTGCTTTACTGCTGGACTCCAGATATATAAAGTATACCATACTATATTTATTTAAAGCAGCTATGTATTAAATACATAATCATTGAATGTATTTTAAATAAAGAGGGTATGAGTACTTGAATTCTGAGTTCCTAAAATGGCCTGCACAGTGGCACTTAGACTCCAAGAAAGGCCAGCAGTTCATCATTTTATTTTTTTTAAATCTGCAGCACATTTTTACCTTTACAATCCAGCTCTTGAATGGAATAGCAGGCACTTCCTGTTGGCTGAAGGTCATGTCAGCTTTCCATTAGAGCCCTTCAAAGCCCCAAATTTCAGACCCCTCTTTTACGCAAATATCAACTTCAGCAAGCAAAAGGAAGGTTTGACAAGAGCTACATTATTCAGGTAAAATTTGATACAGATATATTTTAGGACACGTCAGAACAGAAACTTTGTAAAAGTTATTTAAAAAACAAATTGCTGTCCTAATGTGCTTATTTTAAAACCAATTTAAACAGTAATCAACGCTGGCAACTGCACTTAGAGTATTAGAAGTCACGGTCCGATCTGTTCTTATCTAGAAAAATGGATATACTCAATGTTTGCAAATTATGTAAGCCTTCAATTACTAAAACTAAAGTGTTCCACAATAGCCTACCTTACTCATCCAGGATTTCCGCTTACACATAGCCTTCCTCCGCTTTACTGCTTCCCAAAGACGTCTCTGGCCTAAAAAGTAGAAATAAAAGATAAAAGAACATACAGCATAATGATGTATTATGTAAATACGTAATGTAAATTAGTAGAGCTAATCACAATGTGACAAAGTAATAAGTATTCGAGATTGTTCATACCATATAAATATTTATTTGCAATTATATAAAGAGCATAGTAGTTTTTTAATCAAATAGAACAAATCAATTTAGAGTAGAAAATACACATTTGGACAACTAGCTTAAAGGAGAACTATGGGGCAACCTTTTTTGCCCATAGTTCTCCTCAGGGTCATGGAAGGACATATACTGTGTCCTACCGTGACCCAAAACTCAGGAAATAGCAGGCTATTGCCCTCTATATGCTGAAAGCGCTGCAGCTGGGACGGATCCCGACAATACAGTCGAGATCCACCCCGCTGGCTGATTTGACAGCTGGCTCTGCCTCTGTAGAGGCAGAGCCAGCTGTGCCCGTTCCCTTCCGTCTGTCCCTGCAGTAAGCGCTGGAGAAACAGAGAGGGGGGAATCCCTGCAGGCAGCAGTGACTCATAGTCACCGCTCTCTGGAGGGAGAGGATCGGGAAGCCAGCGAAAACACACCGCCGTCGCTGACTTCCCGATCCTCTCCCTCCCATTAGAGCCGACCTGTGACAGCTTCTTGGTGACAGGTGGGATTGAATTATGGGGATGAGTGATTTCCACTTATCCCATAATTCTCCTTTAAACTGTATTTCCACTTTGAAAAAAACACCTATGTTATATTTGTTACATGTTCTCATTCACATAGTGTAACTTAAAAAATTGCTGCTTGTATATTATTTGCTGTATTGTGGAAGAAAAGCTTTTCTTTGTACTGAATTTTCTTCTAGAATGCATGGAAGTGTCTGTACTGTGCTGGCAGATCTCATTATCAGTTGTATACTATATTTAAACATTGTATGTCCTTACAAAGGGAGGTCTAGAAGCATTGTATGTTAATGAGAGGAAGCTCAGAGTGTCCCTAGTCCTTCTATTAGAAATCAGAATTTCTAGTAACTTTAAAATTGAGAGAGGCGCTTGCAAAGCCCTGCTACACAGACACATATAAGGTATGAAAACATATTTTTAACATCTTTTTCAGTATGCTGTGTGATTAGGAACACATAACAAACATAAAGTGAAGTTTTCTCAAATCTGACTGCAAAAGTGGAAATACACTTTAAGACAAATATCTTGGGCAAGTCGCCATCCCTTTCTTGCACTGAGAGGTTCTTGATTGCCAATGTGAGCACTCTTATTAGTCAGGGCCACATGGTTGGACCAAAGTCAAGGTCTCACCAGTGAAAATAATATAATACCAATACCAAAAGCTTTGCAATGAGAGAATAGATTCTGTGCCATGCAGTAAATAAATGGAACAACCTATTTAAAAATTGTACATCTATATATGTGTATGTATTTACGGTGTATGTGTATATATATATATAGATAGATATAAATTGATATCTATATATATATCTCCAAGATTGGCCAAATAGTTTTAAGTCTACTGCTGGATACCTGCACTTTCCCCAGTGCTACTTACCTTGCCCAAAAACATCTGCAAGTACGGACTAATTATTTTTTTAATTATCCACTAGTAAAAAGGAAAATTTTCTCACCAGGTCGGCCGATGCCAATCTTCTCCAGATCCTCATTTTTAACGTAATCAAAGTGGGAAAGGCGCGTGATGTTGAGGTCATCACGTATACGCAAGAAATACTGCTGCAGCTGCACCTCGCTCAAGAGTTCCAGAAGCCATTCTGAGCCTTCATCTGGCTGCATGCTACTCCCCAACCTCTGTGGAGAAAAAGAGAAATGTGTGATTGGCAATATGCTTACACTGTAAAGGCTTCAAAAGCACGCACTTTTTCTCTGCTCTGTGTAAAACTGGAACTACACAGAATAATAGATGAAAGTCCCACTAATGGGGGGGAGACTTGCTCACTAGGTGTGTGAATAGACTAGATATGTGTGGGAAGGAAAGGGCTCTGAAGAGACTATGGGGTCTATTCACAAAGCTGCCGAGGGCAGCCGAGTGAATGACCGATCAGAAGTGAAGTGAGCAGGCTGGTACGGCTGATTTCAGCCGTACATCGGCTGAAATCAGCCGTAGCATATCCTTCGGCAGCTTTGTGAATAGACCCCTATGTTTAGCTGAAGGAGATTAGGCCCATACAAACTGTCAACACTGTCAATAGAAAGCCCTATGTTTGCTATCTTTCCTGAGCTTCTGAAACCAACTGTGAGAGTGTTCACACTAGCACTAGACTTCCAGGTATTCCAGCATGCTACAGCAACAGGAAAACAACAGTAGTTAACTGATGACATCATACGCATCACAATAACAATGCAATTTGGTCACAATGACAATTTGTTTATGGACAATGTTGATGTCACCCCACAAGTTACACTGCAATTGCAAACAATATTAACATTACCACCATACTCCTTTTGAACATGTTCTGTAGTATGGTATTCAAAGGATCACTACATCTAAAATTAAAAGGGTAGATGCAGGGAAAAACTCTTATATCAGCTTTTTTTCTATAAGGAAAGCTATACTGTATACATCTGAAGAATGTCAAAAATAATTATATTACTTATTTCCCTCAAAATATGGAGATAATCAAGCCAATGTAAAGTCAACACTATAGAATCCTTTGTATCAAAATACAAATCTTTAAAAGGAGAATTATGAGGCAAGTGATTTTCACTCAGCCTCATAATCTGAGCCGACCTGTGACAATTAAACTGTCACAGGTCGGCTCAGTAGATCGGGGAGTGAATACATAGCGTTGCTCGCTCACTTCTCGATCTATCCCTGCAGAGAGCCGTGGCTGTCACTCACGGCTCCCTGCAGGGATTCCCCCTCTCCGATTCTCCAGCACTGACTGCTGAAACGGACGGGGCGGGCACAGCTGGCTCTGCCTCTGGATAGGCAGAGCCAGCTGTCAATCCCGCAGCTGGGTGGATCCAGACAGTATTGCCGAGATCCGTCCCGGCTGCGGCATCTTACTGAGCTTAGGATAACGGGAGGACGCTAGTTTGTGTCCTCCCATGACCCTTAGGAGAACTATGGGGAAAAGCCCTGACCCCATAGTTCTCCTTTAATTTTAACAGTATGATATAAAACAAATCACAGGACAATGTTTTTTTTAAAGTGTGATTTGTTGTTATATCGTACTATTAAAATTAAAGATGTAATTGATAAAAGAATTCTATGGTGTTAACTTTACATTGGCTGGATTGTTTCCATGTTTGAGTGGAATACGTAATAATTATATTAGACTACGTAGTAGGAGTGAGTACCCAGTCAATGTCTGAATTAAAGATTTCCCTCATTCTTACAAATATCTAAAGAATGGCGTCCCTTAAAAAAAAAAATAGCAAAAGAAACCTTACAACTATATGCAGCAAGAGAAAATACCATCTTTTACTAAAAATAAAAAAAATTGCTGGACATTGTTTTCATGCAACATACTGTAAACAATTGCTTTGATTTTATAGTCTGCAACTAAAAATTCTCCAGAACTTTGCACAAAAAAATAGTATAATAAGTTCCACATGACCTGCATTATACCTTTGTATGTACTCTACAATCAATAACATTCTAACTGGGTTTTGTTTTTTTACAGTAAAGCATTATTAGAGATTACACCTTTTATAGACAAGCCAAGGACGTTTAAAATATGGCAATCACTGGCAAAAAAAAAGTAATGGCTATAAAAATGCATTCACTTTAATGTAGAACAGTGCAGTGTGTTTTAGACCCTTGGTTCTCAACTGGTGGATCGTGACCCAAAAGTGGGTAGCGACACCGTGTTCAGTGGGTCACCAGTGTGCCTTCCACTTTTCTAGGCATGCCTTTCACTTTTCTAGGTGAGAGGCTCCTCAGCCTCCCCCTAGCGCAGTACTGTCAGTTCTAGGGCCAAGCAGCCATTCAAAATCTGCTGCCCGTTGCCGAGTGTCAGGTTGAAGTGGGGTGGGGCCATGGCCACGAGGGAAATCCATCCACACATGCATTCCTTACAGAACCCGTGCATGTTCTGTAGAGGTGCCTGGACCGGAGTGACGTCACATTCTGGCTCCCAGCACCTCTACAGGGCATGCAAGGAAGCAGTACAAGCAATGCACGTATGGATGGAGCTCCATCACAGCACAGCAGCACGCACTGGACCCCAGGCTGAGGATCCACTGCAGTTCTCATAAGATAGAGAGACTGGCTGGATCTTAAAAAGAAAAGAAAAATGAATTACATTTTTTTGGAGTGTGTATGTGTGTGTGAGAATGTGTCTGTCAGTGTTTTTGAGGGCCCGTTCACACTAAAACGGTGCGTTAATTGCACAATCCTGTGCAATTACGCAGTGTACAATGCAATTGCACCAACAGCATTGTGGTGCCAGAGGTGTGTTGCCATTAATTTGAATGGTACCCCAAACGCACCTCCCCCCACAGTTTGATTGCCCGCATCGGAACGCGCTGTACCACAATGCCGTGCGTTCCATTGCAGTGTAACTTGGGTCGCGACTTAATGACCAAGGACAAATGTGGGTCCTGAGGTTACACAGGTTTAGAACCACTGATTTAGACCATTCATTCCTACAGAAGGTGCATTTTGATGGAAACCAGACCAAAGATGTAGCACGCATGATTTTTTGGGAGTTGAAGTTTGCAGAAAAATGCACCTTTCGTAGGAAAGAATGGCAACGTGTGTAAAAAACACACCTCATGAAAAACGCAGATGAGAATTAACCTAAGCTGCTGTGCTGAAATATTTGTGTGCCGTGACCTCTTCCTGTAACTACATCCCGCAAATAATTATCAGCTAAACATCACAACAGATATAAAATGATACATTAAACATGACTTTCACAATGAACAGCTTGTGTTTTTTTCTCTTGAAAACATCCTGAAATGACGGTTTGTTAGTATTGCATGGTATAGTTTACCTCCTGTGGTCATATCTGCAGCACGCCAGAGAGGCATGTAAATTCATTTACATGTACAAGAGCCAGGCATGGAGGAAAAGGTAATTCATGTTCCACGCCGTTTTATTTAAGATCTTATAGCTTTTGCAAAGCAATACATAGTTTTATCATGTTAAACAAGCAGTACTACTGAGACAACCATTTACTGTCAATCTGGACACTATATACTAGAGCTGCAGCTAACGATTATTTTCAAAATCGATTAGTTAGCCGATTATTAGGTTCGATTAATCGGTTAATCGGATAAACAAACGTAGGCTACATATCTGAATCACAATAAACTTGAAACATTATCTTTAAAGTCATCTAAAACCACCAGAGGGTAGGTATACTTCTACTCCAACGTCAAATATATACTTGGAGCAGACTTGTCCATGCAGTCCATGTCAACCAATCATCATTTTGTATTTATGTGTGTACTCCTGGCAACATTCTAGAGCAGGGGTGGCAAACACAAGGCCAGCGGGCCAAATCCGGCCCGCCGGACCTTGTAATGTGGCCCGCACAGCAGCCACCTACATTTGTATGTTCTGCTGTGATTTCCCTCCTTTAGCAAGAGGAAATATAAAGAGACATCTAACAAAGTTGGATATCAACAGGGTACATTGGATCCATGTGTGCCCTACACCAACTAAATGTAATGTACACTACATGACACTTGCTTCAGGTCAGTCTATACATAGCCAGCTCATTGGACATCTGGTACAGATCTAGGCTCGTTCCCAGGTTCAACCACATCTGAATGAAAAAAATAGAAAGATTGCATAATATACGGGGCATTTATCAAAACTGGAGCAGAAGAATCTGGAGCAGTTGACTATGTCAACCAATCAGCTTCTCTCTTCAGTTTGTTCAGTTAAAGAAGAACTATGGGGTCAGGGCTTTTCCCCATAGTTCTCCTTAGGGTAACGGGAGGACACAAACTAGCGTCCTCCCGTTACCCTAAGCTCAGTATACCGCGAGCTACAGCTCGCGGTATACTGAGACACCGCAGCCGGAGCGGATCCCGACATCGATGTTGAGATCCGCCCAGGTGCGTGAGTGACAGCTGGCTCTGCCTATCTAGAGGCAGAGCCAGCTGTTGCCGCCCTCTCCCCCGTCCGTCCTGCCAGTCAGCGCTGGCAGATCGGAGCGGGGAGAGGGGAATCCAGCCCCTCCCCCTGTCACGGCAGAGAGCCGTGACAGGATCGAGAGGGGAGTGAACGCCGGGATATGTTCGCTCACCTCCCGATCTACTGAGCCGACCTGGGCCAGTCTCATTGTCACAGGTCGGCTAGAACTATGAGGTGAGTGAAAAGCACTCACCTCATAGTTCTCCTTTAAGGTTTGAAAATGAAAGGTGGATGCTGATCGGTTGCCATGAGCAACTGGTCTAGGTTCTGTCTGCTCCAGTTTTGATAAATTCCTTTCTATCACTGCAAAAAAACTTTTTTGCTTTATCCCAAATCAGAACAGGATGCAAGATAAAGCTCTGACGTGTTTCCCACTGTAATCAGTGCCTAGTCAAAGAACATGCGGGAATGTATAGCTTCTTAAGGTGAACCCCCTAAATGTGACTTGTTTAAAAGTTGTGAGCTCCAGGCTGTGATTCACATTCTAGCTC